TCTTATAAATTTGTGTATGATAGCAAAAATTCAGGAAAGGGGGATCGTATCTGGGTCGCATCTAATTTCTTCGGAGCTATTGAAGCTTGGCTGCAATTCTGCTGTAATAAGAGGCCATCCTCCTAAGTTCCCTCACAAAAATTGCAGGCTGTTTTATAGCTTCTCTGGTAAGTTACAAAATTTTGAGCTCAAAAATCCCAGTTTTTGCTTTTTAGGATCGCGCTCTAAATTTGCGAGAGTCGCATCTAAATTTTTTCGAGCTTACTGCTCCACAAGAGCGAAAACTTTTTCTATGGCTAGTCTGGGAGCTATACTTTGGACCGAATTGAATAATTATTCGATTATTCGAATAAATCATTCGAATGCGAATGATTCGAAAATCCGAATATTCGAAAATATGAGATTTCGAATAATATTCGACAGTCGAATATTCGAAATCATTTTCGAATATTATTCAAAAGTCGAATGTTCGAAATTCTCAACTTTCGAATATTATTCGATAGTCGAATATTCGATGGTCATTAATTCGATCATTCGATGTCCATGGAATCGAATATTCGATGGGCACCGAATATTCGAAAATTTGATAAAAATGGACTATTCGAAAATTCGAAGCATCGAATATCCGGAAATTCGATATCCACAACATATACGGGGTGTCCCAATGGTATGTACAAACTGTTTAATCGCTAATACCTCTCACGAAGTCTTTTGCCAACCTTTAAGTAACATCCTGTAGGGATGGCTTCAGCTTACAAATACAGCAGAAAGCAAATCACCTATGTTTTTCTTGTTGTGTTAGCACGGTATGAACTTAGCATATAGAGCAACTGCGAAATGGGACATCCAAAAGAGTTTCCCCAACAAAAAAGAAATTACAAATCTATGTAGCAGAATTTCACGTATGTTTAACTACGCACAGGCTTTTGAGCCTTTCAAATGTGCATTCTCTTTTTTGAAAAGCGTTGGAAAACATCTGTTATGGTGTACCTGGCATAAGTTGCACAAGGCGTTACGATTGAGTGTAAATCCTTTATATAGTGAGTTTCTTTAGAAGCCTAGTGTAAGATCGGCCTTTTTGTTTCTCATTCTTGGGCAAACGGCTCTTGATATCTCAAAACCCTCCTTAGTTTTCCTACGGTAACTTACAAGTGAAAAGCGATCGATACATCGCTTCATACTGTAAGTCTAGGTTGATGTCAGCCCACAAATTCACATACCGTTGAAAACCCTGTATGTCAGTCCACAACTCTCAATGAGGATAAATAATCTTCTTTGATTTTTGATTCCTTTACAACCGTCACGTACGCTTTTAGATTCTTGAAGGCAGCGTCCCAAAAAATGGGTTCGGGAATTTGTGGCGATGTTAAATTGGACCCCCTACCTAAGCGGTGACGAAGTTCGGAGCGAGAAAGAGGGTCTGGTAAGCTTGAAAATTGCTCCTAAAGCGGCCCGTCTTACGGCAGACCCGAATGCCGCCCGTACAGCGAATTCGAACTGCAAGGCCAGAGAACGCAGAGCGCACACAGTTATGAGTGCAGGGTCCCGCAACGACTCTGCGTCTCTAATCGGCATGCAACTAGTACTCACGGGCCTACCGTAAGATCCGGGCCATCTACGAAGCAAATTTTAGGCCTGGTAGCCCCTTTTTTCGCTCCGAACATCAGTCATCGCTTAGGTGGGGGGACTACTTCAACATCGCTACAATCCGGCACCCATCTTCTTGCCGGGGCTGCAACTGAACCGTTTTTTCATTGTAAACTGAAACACAAAAAAAGTGTCTATACCTGAAAAAATTTATTCTAAGATGTTTTGGCCTCTCACAAGTAGTCTCACTGACATAATTTATTCGCATAGTTTTCGAACGAATGATATTCGAAAATCGAATATTATCCGAGAACCGAATAATATTCGAAATTCGAATATCGAATGTTATTCGATATTTGATTCGAAAACTTCCATTCTCGAATAATATTCGATAGTCGAATATTTGAAAATTTCGATTTTCGAATAAAATTCGATAGTCGAATATTCGAAGTTTTCAGTTTTCGAACAATATTCGATAGTCGAATATTCGAGAATTCTGATTTCGAATATTATTCGATATTCGAATATTCGAAAAAAATTTCGAATTTCCCAAAGTATACTGGGCGCTATACTACAGAACCTGTGCTTTTCAGCCTCTCAATCTTTTCCTGGCCTTAGTTACGAATTTTCAAACTACCGTACTCATGCACTTTTTGACGTCGTTCTGGACGGCACTCAAGCGGTTTTTTTAGCGGAAAAAACTGTAGAAGAGGTAGGAATAAAGCTTCTTAATCGAAAACATCTTTTGTAGTTCAAGAATGTCATTTTTTTTCTCTGTGCAAAAATTTGTGTCGCCTACGGGGATCGAATTGCTGGTCTGAAGTATGCCTGAAAATTCAAAAAAAAACTTGCAGATTCTCAAACATTATTGAAGGTATGTATTTGTGCTACAGATGCTGGACGCACCCATTGACTTAGAAATTCTGCTTCCCAAACCTCACTGAAGTTCTCACGCAGGTGCTTTTTGAGATTGACATTCGTTTATGCAGGTTACCGCGAGGACTGTGGACAGGGAAGGTGAGGGGGATAAATAGGGGAGGGTGAGGAAGGGGGGAAGGGGGGGGGGGGGTCGTACGGATGGGTACCTTTATGGGGGGGGGTCGTAAATGAGGGTCCCGGATCGCACCAACACGCTTGACCTGAGTACTACTATGTGCCTATATTATAAAGACCAAGTTGAAAGCCTGTAGAAATTTTCTAGAAGGAGAACCGATTTTTAGGGTCTTTGAAAAATTTTGATTTTTGGCCTCAAATTTTACCTGGATTACGACTTAAGCGGATCTTGGGTGGCTTTTCTGTAGAACTTGCTCCATTCTATCGAATGGCACCTTAGGTCTATTAGGAAAACAAGAACGGCTCAATTCATTTGGAAATGGAGTTTACTTTTGGGACAACCCAATACTTTTCAATATAAATTTTTGGTAAGCAACGAGTTTTGATTCCCATCGAAGTCTTCATGTGTTTGGTGGGTAATGGTTTACCTGTGCTGGCTGCTGCAGTTTACTCCTCTGGGCCGGTAGTAATCTACCCTACCTGGTGGCATCAAAGATGCCGACAAGTTGGCACACATCGCGGAAAGATGCCAACTCCGCCGGCAGCAGTGATTGTAGGTTTTAATAATCTTATGTAACCTTAGCACGCACTCATTTCGCACATTAAGTTTTGATGACGCAGACAGCCGCAAAATTGCTACCTCGCGCGCGGTCGAACCTATGCGTGTTAACTTGAAGTGCCACCACGTTAACCATTCGACCATTCGGTCAGCCATTGCCCTTTGCACTAGCAATAGGAGGAACGCGCTGGTAAATGGCTGCCTGTAAGAGGGATCGATACATTGCGTGAGAGACTTTGACCTGAAAGAACAGCTGATTGATATGAGCGAGAGAGCGGCGAAATCTGTGCAAACGAGATTTATAAGGGATTTCCAAAAAAGATGATGTTTCTTTATGATTCTAAGGCATTACTGGATTTTTTCACTGTAAGAAAATCGTCGTTCTAAAAAAGAAAAACTCGTATAATGAGAAAAATGATAGTTTTTTGATGAAAAGTAGAATTTTTGATGTTTTCGCCTGACGTAAATTGTGTGATATCGCCGCAATTCGCAAACTCGCAGACGCCGTCGGCAAAGGTGCCACCACCTCGACGTGGTAGGGGCACGTCGAGATGCCGGCAGCTCGCTCTCTCAAAAGAGCACGCTATTTCCCGTGCTCTCTGACCTGCCGGCAGCTGCCATCTCGCGGATTCCGGCAACCTGCCGGCAGGTTGCCGGCAACTGACATCGCGAAGTTGCCGGCAGCTCCTCCTGGAATTCCAGATATTTTACTAAAGGAGGAGTTCTGGAGCCGCAGATTTTTATGAAGTTTTCTACAGAGTCAAGGCGGCAACTTTATCGAGAAAATTTTTTGGAAAAAGGCCTGGGACGGCCTAAATTTCGGTTCTTAGTTTCTGGCCACCTCGCGGAAAGGTGCCAGCAACCTGCCGACGAGACCTGCCGACAGGCCGGGGGGATTACTACCGGCCCTGAAGTTGTGAAGGTGACTCTAAAGCTTAGTGCTGGGCAAGGTAAAGACAATGAGACGTTGGCCAATGCAAATTGGAGGACCCGTCAATAATCATTCTAAGAAATTTGCGTGTAAATCCTTGAACGAGCTTTTAAAGTATTTTGGTATGCTGTAGTGTATTTATTATAGTGTATTATATTTCTTTAGTTGTATTTAGAACTTTATCATGAAAATTAAAATCCGAACTTACACTTTTGTGTAACACAAATTTGTTTTGGTTCAGAAAGACATAAAGCATAAAACTGAAAACCAAAGCAAAACTGCAAATTGTTGATGCAGAATTTTTAGTGCAGGAATATTTTAGCTATCTTTCGAAGTCATTAGGCCTATAATAGGAATAAAAGGCTCAGCGTGGTAATGCATTTTGAAGCAGTGAGGGACCTTATTAGGATTTCGTAATGTACATGCTTTTGCTAAGCGAAGGAGCACTTTAAATTGTTTCTAATGTTGTTGATGTGGTGAGAATTACAAAATGGCATAATGATTGCATAGATCAACTCAAATAGCATCGCACTTATATGATCTTCCAGTGCTCCACTTCCTGAGGCGTGCGCTCTTTCTCCTTCTCCTGGCATATAATTCAATTTTAAGTGTTATTGAACAAACAGTTGCTCTTGATTATAGTTCTTGAACAGAGGAATTTATCGGAAACATTCCAAATACCTAAAGAGAACTGGTGCTTAATTTGATAGCTAGAAATGAATTCATCTGCTTCAAAGAACCGGAGCCAAAAAATTGTTTTCGCCATTCATGTATCAGCTGCCATTTTCATTGTACATCGGCCAAATCAAAATCCTTCAGAAAGGCTCTTTCATTTATTGCATCGTGGCATTCATCTCAAAAACTTTTTTCAGTTTTTCAAGCATTATGACTGCAATGTTCAATTACCTCATAGTTGTTCTTATGTTCATTGTTGGCGTTAAGGGCTGGTTCGGTGGGCTTATTGCAGTCTGATTTTTAAAGGTATCATTGGCTAGTGCTCTAGGTCCAGAGATGATGCATGGTCCAGGCCTTTTTGGAGGTTTCGGTGGAGGTTATGGGGGTCTCGGTGGAGGATACGGTGGAGGCTTCGGCGGCGGTCGCATTCATCCTCGCTGATCGGTCATCAACAGATCGATTCATCATGACTGCTTTAAATTCTGTCTATGAGTTAATCTTTCACAATAAAGATGTCCTTTAATCGATGTTATACAGAGTGTCCCAAAAGTATAGATTGTTTAACCATAGTTGATCGTCTGAAAATAATGTAACGCAATTATAACATCGAATAGCTGGCTTCACCCCGTCAAGTTAATAAAAAAAGTCTTTGGACTTTGCATTCAGATAAAGTTTCACTATGAAAACAAAAAGTGGGGCATTCGTCACAAGCACACCGTTAAATAGAGAAAAGCAAACTCAACAAGACCATTGAGCGCGGGCATGAATGATGATATTTATAACAATAGTGGCCAAAAAAACAAAAATTATGGGATTTTAACCTTTTATCCTTTCAGTACCAGCTATATGCATGCGAGTGTACAGAAGCTGAAAGTATTGTAGCTCACAGGCTCGATAGAGAAAATGGCTTGAATTTGCTATGTTCAATCACATGATGGGGCTTCTCATTGGGAAGAGGTGCTCCTGAAAACTTCCAGAATTGCGTGGAATGTACTTGACGGCCTAATTTGCTAGAATTAAGGTTGGGTCAACTCAGTACCAGAAAAAGCTAATTTCCATGTGTCATCTATCATATTATAGCAAACAAAACTGTCGAGAAACTCCAAGATTTCTTGAAAGAGTAGATTTACCGTTACAATATCGGATTCCTTTGTAAATGAGTAACTTTTGAGCGTTTCTGTCATTTTTGGTTAGCCACTTTATAAGTGCTCTTAAAAAATTTTCCGCTCTTCGTAAAACAAGAGGCAGACTTGCCACAGGTGGCTCATAAGCAAGCTGGATATTATTTTTGGGACAAAAAGCAAAGAAGCTGTATTTTTATGAAACCAATTTGGCTTTTTTCTACGTTTCGTTTTCTTCAATCATTCGGATATTTTGAGTAGGCGTCAAAGGAGCTTTGTAAATTTCTGCGAGAGTAAGATGGGGCTTTGTTTTTTGCTTTGAAAGGCCACCTGGTGCCAAGCCCTGACAAGAGATGGTGATTATATTAGGATGAACACTAAGTTTTGCAACTGGTCTCATAACTTCCCTCTCACTCAACATGGTGCACTCAAATGTGTGTTGGTTATTACGTAAGCTACAAGCGCAGCTGCTGTCCTACCAAATTCTGACGTCGCAGTGAGGGTTACGGTAGTTGTATGGTATAAAGGGGAAAAATTCAAAGTTTGACGAATTGGCTGAAACTTGGCATAGGAGTGTTATCCGACATGCTGATCACGAAAACGATAGTGAAATTCCGTGATAAGGGCTTTTTTGTGAGATTACTGTAGGTGTACGATATGGGGTCTCACCCTAAACAAGGAAAATGGCGTTGATTCAACGAATGAATATGATATTCTAGTTCGGCAGGTTAATTAACCTTACTATGTGAAGTCTCGGAGGGGATTTGAGCTTTGGACTCTTTACTCATTGACGGTCGTCCCCAGCAGCTCTTGCGTACATCGGCTCGTTCGACTTTGTGAGGACGCCAAATCTCGACATGCCCCTGAATTTTGTTTCTTTCTTACTAGGCCAAAGGAGTCAACCTCCACCAATAATTCGTAGATGAATCCGGATTACTGCGCATGGTCTAGGCTGCTAAAGGCTTCATTTTAGCTTGAAACCTCAAAAATTCTCAAATTTCACTAGTTTTCGAAAAATGCCTGAATCCTTTCTATTTCGTGTTCAAAATTCAGACAATTTGTGCTCGCTTGTAGCTGACATTGTATTCTACATGATGCCAAAGTTTGAGTGCGCCATGTTGAATGAGAGTGAAGTTATGAAACAAGTTGCAAAACTTAGTGTTCAACCTAATACTTTTATTCGCTTGATACTCGACTTCACAACCAGCAAGGAGCACACTGAGGAATTAAAACCAGTAAACCATAATGCTCCGTAGCTACCAACTCCGCAACTTAGTGCTTGACGCGCTTGCAGCTGTTGTTAGCTTCTCAACTAAAACCAAAGCACCAAACATTTTTAAGCAAGTCACATCTAACAAAGAGAGGATACTTAGTCGAAAGCACCAATCCAGATGACACATATATCGTATTAAAGCGCTTAAAACGCTGATTCCAAGTCTGTAGTTTTTAGCAGCGGAGCAGTTTTGTAGAAGGAGTTATGAGGGATGTTTCCCTTTTGGGTTGAGGCGCCCTCCAACAGGTCTCCCCTTACCCTACGGTAATACCAACTCGGATGATTTCCCGGATTTACATAAATGTGGACTAGGTCGAGAGTATTACTACATGTTCAAATCCGCTTCCAAAACCACCAAGGCACCGCTTCGATACAACCCCAAATAGGGTTCACAGCGTTATGGTCGGCCTCGGAAAGCGCGCTTCAATCGCAATCGGTTATTGTAAATTGTAAAGTTTCGCAGCTGAATAAATGAGTAGTATCTTAGATATATAAACGTCAAAATTTGTGCAAATCTTGACCCTATGTTCTTTTATGGATTCCTTTGCGGATGAACCCATTGAGCTGAAACCTTGATGACCCGGGCTGGACCAGGAAAGCCAGGTAGTACTACTATAATAAGCCTGAGGCCCCCATCTTATTATTTGTGTATATCTGTTTGTCAGGGACTTACGGGGGTCAAAAATAGGGTCAAAGGGGAAGTCGTAAGAAATTTTGGCTTCAAAGAAGATATCGTTTTCAAAACTCTGAAATGCCATTTCCTGCCGGGCCCTGATTAAAACCTTGACACTCTCTTTATAAAGCAAGGCACTTACCATTAGGCCACTTCCCACTAGTTGCTACTCCTCTATAGTGCTCATAGATAAGGGGGACCTGTTGGAGGGCGCCTCAACCCCAAAAGAAAACACCCCTTATAACTCACTCTACGAAACCGCTCCGCTGCTAAACTACAGGATTGGAATCAGCGTTTTAAGCGCTTTAATACGATATATGTGTCTCATCTGGATTGGTGCTTTCGACTAAATATCCTCTCCTTGTAAGAAGGCTTAGGTAAATGCTTTTACTGTATTGTTATTACCTATGACATGCGAGATAAGAAGTTCCTAAAGCTTTATGACCTATTCCCTACCCCAAAATCACAGATAAGAAAGCCCATATTGTATTTGAAGCCGAAATCTTCCTCTCATTAATAACTATAAAATAAGAGAAATTCGATGGAATAGTGGTCAAGATGATAAGTTTCTAATGTCATTGTTTTCGCCTTGTCTAACAGCATGATTTTCTTTCAAATTTCAAAGATCGAGAAAACTTGCAATCAATAGATTTTTTCGTATCTACTCTAGCCAGCCTTTTAAATTTTTCATACATCAATTTCTGGTGTAATCGGATTCATATTCTTCTCATTCAAATCTGGTGAAACATGAGCAGGTTAGCGATTCAGACATCTATTGAGTAGCTCTTCTTTCTTTTTCTGAGCCTCACCTTCTATTTCGACACTTGCAAATTTTGCAGACAAAGTCAGTCGTGTTCTCGTAATTCTACAGGTGTAAAAATACGCCGAAAAATTTGAAATTCCTTCATTTTCAAGCTGTAGCTTTTTTGCCTCTCAGAATCAAATTCAGTAACGATCTTTCTCGAGATACTCTAAACTTTGAAGTTTTCTTATTGTCTAGTAGTACACTTTTCTGCTACCTTGAAATTATCTTTTTGAGAACATTGAGTTAATGAAGTCTGAAACACATAACTATAGCGAAAACATGAAAGTTTGTCAGTTCAAGCTTGATTGTTATTTCATTTGCAGAATAACCAATTTTGGTTCGCTTCAAAGAATCAGCTTCTTGGAATTTTTGACACGCCTATGTGCTAATGTATTCACATCAGAATGCCGGAGTATTTTAAGACGTCGACGACAGTGCCGCGCAATGGTGCGCGGCATCTTAAACTTTGATTTTTATGCGCCCAATCGCTCTAATCTCTGTGTGTTCATATGATCAACTTAGGGTCAAAAGTTCTCATGTTGGCCCCACGTCTCCTTTGGCAAACTCCGCCCACCCAATTTGCCTTCTGAGAGACCTTTTTGTGTCCAGAACGCAAAGAAAAGGTCGCAAATGACTTTTGAAGCCCCAAGCAGCTTTGATCTTGGCCCCCCGTCAAAAAGCTCCGTCCTCTCAGTGGTAAACTCCGCACACTTTTCAAGATGTCAGTTTGCACGAATTGCAGATTCCAAGCAATTTTCAGTATTTTGAGGAGTGGGTGGAGCTGCACCGCTCAGTTATATTAGGTTGATGCATAATTTCTGCACCAAAATAGGTACAGACCGCGATAATCCGGAATAAACCTATATCATAAATAGGATTTGATATATCATTAGATATAGCAAACCTGGCCCTACAAGGCAGTGCTTAAATTTTGCAGAAGCTTTCATATAAGCCAAGGTTGAAGCCAGAAACGAAAAAGATCCAATCGCCGGAAAAAAAACTTAGAAAAAATTGGAAGTGCGTTTAGAAAAACTTTTCAAAATTCCTAACTTGCTCATGCAATGTCATTTCGTATAACACATTTCTCTATGCAGTTGCTGTATTTTTTTTCTCAGCTAAAAGTTGAAAAAACGAAGCTTTTCACGTTTTTGCCGAACTAGTGCTGAGGTGTTCTAGAATTATCAGTTGCATAGTACATGCTGCAGTAAAACTTTAGATTTTCAGCATTCTAGAACAGCTAGTTTACGAGAAATGAGAATCTAGCTCTTTTTATCCGAATTTTTCTTGCCTAGTTGCTAAGAATTCAATATTTCTCGTAAACGAGGTGCTGTAGAAAGCTAAAAATTTACCTCACGCTTCTTACACAATTGTCAGTGCTAGAACGTCTCAACATTATTTTGGAAAAAACATGAAAAACTTCGTTTTCTCAGTTTCTAACTGAGAGAAATATGAAGCCAACTGCATAGAGAAATGTCTTATACGAAATGACAATGCATGAGCAAGCTAGGAATTTTGAAGGGTTTTTCTGAAAGGATTTCTAATTTTTTCTTGGTTTTTTGGGGCGCTTGAATCTTTTTCGTTTCTGCTTCCATTCTTCGCTTGGATCAAAGCTGCTGCAGCACTTCAAGCATTATCTTGTAGAGCTA